CCCCCCCCCCCCGGACCGCCCCCGGCCCCGCCCGGGAGGCCTCTAACCCCCCCCACCCAGCGTTTTCTGGCCTTGCCCTGCCCCCCCTGCACTTTGCCAGCAGCCTTAGAAACGGGGCCAGAGCCGGGCGCAGGATCCAGGATCGGCCTCCCCAAGGCCTCAGGCCGGGGAAATTCCTCCCTCCCCCCCGGTGCCTGCTCCCTGCCCCCTCGTTACACAGCCCAGGGGCCCATCAGCCCGGCTGCCCCGTGGTGCCCTGGGAGCTCATGGCCAGTTACTGTCCCTGGGGGCCTGAATCCTTCCCCAGGTCCCTGCTTCCCCACCCAGGCCCCAGGCTGCAGGGCAGCGGCGTTCCCTGGGGAGCTGGGACCTGGCACTTGGCTGGATCCCAGCCCTGGGGTGTCCCTGGGCCCAGCTCCCCATGCCAGGCCCTTGGGGTCAGGCCGGGCTGGGCTCAGATGCTCCTGGGGTGTCAGCGCAGCCTGGAGGCAGAGAGCAGGGAGGCCGTTGTCATTGGAGGGTGGGGGGATATCGGGGTCCAGTCCCTGGGCTCCCTGTTACCGATGAGCCAGAGACATTGAGCTGGGCTCCAGGCTGGGCTCTGGTTCTGGATTCCCCCAGATTCAGGGGGTTGGGTCTGGGACTCGGGGTCAGGCTCATGACAGGCCTCAGTAGTTTTCAGGAGGCGACTCAGGGGTCAGGGCTCCGCACGGTGCCTGGCCCAGCCCCTTGGAGCAGGCAGGGTGCCCTGGGGAGTTGGGCAGGGCAGGAATTGGAGCCTGTGTTCATGGAGTGAGCAGAGCCCCTATCAGCTGTTCAGGGCGTCTCACCACAGGGAGATTCCAGCCCGGCACTGACCCCACGTCCCCTTTCTGTTCCCAGCGCTGAGCCCCAGCAGCCAGGAGATCTGCTCAGCTCCCGGTGAGTCCAAATGTCTGTCTGTCTGTCTGCCCTCAATGTTTCACGGACTTTATCCTTCACTGTCCTGGGAATCCAGACCTCCCCCCCACAGAGCAATTCCCTGCTGAGTGCGATGCCAGCGGTAATGGCACAGGAAGGGGGTAGGGCTGGGTGGGGTCTGAGCAGGGCCTACGGGTCTCTCAAATGACCTCTCCTTGCCCCGCTGCCTCCCAGCTCTTCTGGGACATCCTTGGCTCATCCCTCTCCCGGGCTCTGGCCTTGGGAAGCAGCAGAAGCTGCATCTCTGACCCCAAGAGATTTACCTGCCCACAGCGCCGGCTCCCAGCCCTTGGCCTCTCTCCCAGCCCTTGGCCTCTGTCCCTGCCATCCTGCCCAAGCTGCATCAATCAGTGCCCACAGCAGGGACTGTGCTAGCACAGTGTGTGGTGCCTGGCAATGGCAAGCCCTGAGACTCGTACTCAGCCCATTAGCCCCTGGGGTAAAGCCTCCGGTCAGCAGAGAGAGCTCGTCCCCCGTCTGCCCAGCTGGGCTGTGATCAGAGCCCCCATCTGAGACATGGCCCAGACCCCTGCAATTTACCTCCTGCCCCACTGACAGCACCAGCCAACACCAATGCCCCACTGACAGCTCTGCCCCCTTCCCCTCCCCAGGTGCTCTCCCTGCCCCCATCCTCTACCTGAGCCAGACGTCGGCCCAGCTGGGCAACACCGTGCGGGTCAGGTGCTTCATGTCCTCCTGGCACCTGGCCACTCGCATCATCTTCTGCAAGGACGGGGAGGAGGTTTCATTCCAGACAGGCTCAGAGGAGAAGGCCACCTATGACTATGTCCATGTGGTGTCCAGCAACAGCTCTGGGAATTACGCCTGTGGGTACGAGATCACGGACAGCAACAGTCAGGTGAATGGATCCCAGCTCAGCACTGCCCAGCGCCTCAGTGTCACTGGTAAGAGAGAGGTGTGTGTGTGTGCGTGCGTGTGTGCGTCCATCTGTCCCCTATCTTAGCTCTGCCCAGTAGAAACTCAACACCGCAGGAGAGGCGTTAATGGCAGAGTGAGAAGAACAATTAAATGACACGCCCCCTAAATCCAAACACTGGAATTCATCGATTTTCAAAATCTGAAACAAACATATAATGAATAAAACAGCTTTGTTCCAGTTTTGTCACAGGGAACCAGCCCCTGCTCTGTGTTTCACGCCCCGCCCAGCACCTCTGCTCTGTGTCTCACCCGTCCCCACTCAGATGTCCCAGCCTTGGCAGCAGGGTGATCATGGACAGGCTGGAAGGGTGTTTGAGATGTCATCAAAGCTGGCCCCTTGCACTGAGTCAGGATACAATAAATCTAGAACACCCCTGACGGAGCGTGTGTCCGACCTCGTATAACCTGATGATGGGAACTCCAGAATCTGCCAATCTGGAGCTTCACTTCTCTGAGCGTGAGGAAGATTTTCCTCCTATTGAACCGAACCCTCCTTTGCTGCAGATTAGCCCTCTCACTTCTGGTCCTACCTTCTGTGGGCCCTTAGAACAATTGATCCCCATCCTCTGTGTAACAGCCCTGAGCAGAATTAAAGACCATTGCCCCATTTCTAGCCCCTCCGGCTGCTTTCCTCAAGACTGAACCTGTCCAGTGTCTTTAACCTTTCCGCACAGGTCGGGTTTCCTCAGCTTTTGCTCATTTTTGTTGCTTTTCTTTGGGGTCTCTCCAAATCACCCGCAGCTTTGCTAACATGTCTCACCCGGACTGCATCAGAGTGGAAGAGAGACCTCCCACATCTCACATATGCTCACAGGGCCTACTCACCTCCAGTTTGTGACCACAGTGGGGCGGTAGTCGTCTGCTCTCAGCCAGTGACTGCCCATGATTAGTTGTGCAAGGGCAACATGTGAGGCTAGAGTGGGGCCATGGTCTCCTCTCATCTCGTGTGAATTTATTGCCTAGGTGACGGCTCCCACAGCAGCAGTTCTGGGAGGCCCCCCTCTGCCGCCGCCCCAGATAAATGCTCCTGAAGAGATTCTGTGTTTTGGGGACTCTATTTAGGGAAAAGTAGACATGACAATGGCCTTTGTGTGTTTTTTGCCTAGGCAATGACTCTAGCAGTGGAGGTACCAGGATTTCCTCATCCCCAGGTAAGTGCTTCCGGTAAATTTTTGTGTTCTGAGGTCTGTACTTAGGGCAGAGTAGCTTCTAGGCTGAGCAAGTTTCCTCTGGAGTTCCCTGCCCCCTCTGCGAACCCGGCAGCCAGTGAGTTATTGCCCCTCTCTGCACTCACTGGGTGGGGGGTTGCTCTGACAGGAGGCACCATATGCAGCTTCCCAGCTGGACTCACAGGTTCTGTGTCTCTGTCACTAGCTGGTTACGCTCTGTGCTCCAGGCCTGGCCCAGAGTGTCACACCCAGAACATGGGCAAATCCCTCTGCCAGGAACCTCAGCCCAGCACCAGTGTCCAGTTCCCAGGCAGCAACCAAGCGCCAGAGACAGAACTGGTCAGAGCCCAAACCTGTCTGTTTGCCCCAACTGCCTCTAAAGCATCTGCCTCATCAAACCAACCCCTTCCCAGCATGTCAGCAAACTTTGGCTGTGTCTACACTGGCACGTTCTTGCGCGAAAATGGATGCTCTTGTGCAAAAACATGTTGCCTGTCTACACTGGCCACGTGTTCTTGCGCAAGTAAACTGACGTTGTACTGTAGAAAATCAGGGCTTCTTGCGTGAGAACACTGACGCTCTCTCTCAGAGATAAGCCCTCTTGTGCAAGAGCTCTTCCAGAAGAGGCCAGCGTAGACAGGCAACATGAATTTCTTGCACAAGAAGCCCCTATGGTTAAAATGGCCATCAGAGCTTTCTTGCGCAAGAGAGCGTCTACACTGGCAGGGATGCTCTTGCGCAAAAGCACATGGCAATGTAGATGCTCTCTTCTGGAAGATTTTTTCCACAAGACCCCTTCTGCAAAAGAGTTCTTGTGCGAGAACCAGCCAGTGTAGACGTAGCCTTTGTGTATAGGACTCAAGTCAAGGAAATGACGGAGTTGGGCTGTGTGTATCAGCACTACCTAGTGACTCCTACTAATAGTACATGTACTTCTCACATTTCTATCCCAGGAGAAATTCTGACATTTCTCATATTTTCATCCTGAATTGGGAGAAAAATTCAAAAATTCAGATTTTTACTGGAACAGAAATTCAGCAACATTGAAGTGATTTTGCTGAAAAGTTTTCATTAGGAAGAAACAGCATTTTCTGCAGAAAATGGCTACAGGGAGCATGTGTAATCCAGCCCTACACAGAGTTCTGCAGGCTGCCCACACCTCTGGCCCTGAGTTAGGAAAGTTCTCAAGCATGTGCCTCAGTTGAACCCTGTCCATCTATGTAAGACAGGGGTCAGGAAACTTTTTTGGGTTCTGGGCAACTGCCCCATTGAAAAATCTCAGTTTGGGGCTGCACACGAGTGAGAAGAGAAAGTGAGAAGAAAACTCCCCAAACTCACGGACGTGGCCCCTGACTGAGAAGTAGAAAGACACCAAAAATGAGGGGTTCAGTGTGTGGAAGGGGGCTGCCAGGAAGCAGGCATGGGGTGTGAAGTCTGGGCAGGTGGCAGGTGCAAGAGCGAAGTTGGCATGTGGTGTCCGGACGGGAGGGAAGGTGCAGGAGTACATTGGGGTAGAATGTCTGGGGGGAGGTAGGATTCAGGAGTGGACTAAGGGTGGGGGATCTGGGCAGGAGAGGGGGTGCAGAAGCCGATTAGGGGTGATGAAAATAAAGTTTGGAAAAAAAATTGGTTGAAAAGCTTCAGTGAACTCTACTTACAAAGAACAGCCAATAACATTACCCTGCAGGTAATAATTCTTTCCTAGGGCTGGATCTAAAGCTCCTGTTGGGAATTACAATCCCCACCTTCCTGGTGCTGGCTGTGGCGCTTTATCTTCTGGGAAGGAAAGGTGGGTGTGAGAGTGAAGCCAAGCCGTTTAGCAAGTGTACAGACAGACCTTACAGAGACCCCTCTGAGATCTCCTGTCCCCAGGGTGCCTGGGAGGGGTGAGAGAGAGATGCCCAAAGACACAATGAAATTATGTTTTGGGACAGCTGGCTTGGGGAAAATATCAAACAATGAAGAAAGGGATTGGCCGTGTGATTAGTCATTTGTGTTGCAGTAGGACCCTGGAGCCTCAGTCAGCGATCAGAGCCCCACTGTACTAAGTGCTGTACATTATTTATTAGGTACCTTACTGTCATGCCCTGGAGCCCCAATCAGGGCCTAGGACACACCTGTGTCCAGCACTGCCCAGAGATGGTCCCAGTCTATGAGTCAGCTGAGGCATTCCTCTGGATGGAATATCAACATGCAGGTCACTGAGGCTGCAGGTCAGGGAGGCATCCCCTAGCCAGGAAGGGCCCTTGTGCTCGTGTGTAGGAGCTTCCCTGCATCAGGCCCTAACAACTCTGAACACAGAGCTCTGGGTGCAGCTCTGCCCTGCAGCCTTTCCTCACAGCGCCCCAGCTCCCACAGCCTCCAGCTACCCCGACCAGCTCGAGACTGGCTCAGAACTCATGGGACTGTCAACAAATCACCAGTGTGGGTTTTCGTATCTCCCTGGTCTCTAAGGTCAACTCTTCAGGCTTTTCTCCCCCAGAATGAGGGTTATAATTTTTTAAATGAAAATCAAGACTCTCATCCCCAGATTTTCCACCCTGGGGTTTCTTACAACATAAAATGGCAGGAGACTGGCAGTTAAATTATCAGATGTGACCACTCCACTCCCAGTCAGTGGGGCAGGTGCAGGAGAGCGCTGGGCCGGGCTGTGGGGAGGGGGCTCTGTGTCTGTACATTGAGGGGTTGGGGCCGTGTCACTCAGTCTCTGTCTCTCTCTCTGCCCACGAGGAAACGTGGCCCCGTCTCTGATCACTCTGTCTCGCTGCTTCCAGCTGTGTCTCTGCAATGGGAGCACAGGTAGGAGGAAATTATTCCCTCTCCCATTTCGTTTCCATTCTGGGTCCCTCTGCCTCATGGGAGGCCTGGTGCAGCCTCACATTGTAACTCAGCTCTTCTGCTGTGGGGTCTGTGTGTGTTTGTTCTGGAGGAGTTTTTGAAAAGCCCAGGGCAGGTTGAGCTCTCTGGTGGGGTGGGAGCGGGGGGCGTTACGAGGAGATGCTTTAAGGAAGGGGTTTGTCACAGTGGCACGTTCCCATCCAATTCACCGGGGGCAGCAGAGTGAGCATGTTTGAAATTTGCCCCAGGGATGTGAAAGAAGGAAAGTGACCCTGTTTTACCATCACAAAGTGGCACCGACTGATCCAGCCAGTTTGCAAGATCCAGGCCTGTTCTTCTGGGGCTGAGAGTGGCCAGGCCTGGCTGGGAACCAAGGGGCTCCCGTCCATCCAGCTGAATTGGGTAACAGGCAATATTAGCGCCATCAGAGTCAGCTGATTGAGGGCCAGGCTCAGCGCGTCCACAGAGGGACCCACCCCAAAGCCCCCACAGCGGGTTCCCTCTCAGCAGCTGTGATTTCAGTGCAGGTTTGGGGCGGGGGCGGGAGGGAGGGAGAAGTAGCCCCTCCACTGGGAAGAGCTAAGCAGGAGGGTGTCTGGGCTCCCTGCTGACCTAGTGGGTTGTGTGGTTGATGGTTTGGCCATTTAGCTGGAGTAGAACAGGGTGTGCAACTCTCATCGTTATCAGACCTTCCCTCCACAAACTGTGCAGCCGCCACGGTCCCTGCTACCCAGGAGCAGGGCTTGCTGCCTCTCCACTGAGTGTGAGCTGAATGGAGATGGAAGGTCCTAGCAGGAGAATTAGCCATGGGCAGAAACCTACTCACAGGTTGATCTCTGAAAATACTCAGTGTCACCAGCGTGAGCAAGAGCATGGCCTCACTGACCCCTCCTGTCCTTACTTCTCCGTACAGGGAACGCGTCCAGCATGACACCAGCAGTGCCCTGGAAAAGCATACGGAGTGTAAGAGCTTTTGGAGTTTTGGAGCTACAGGGGTCACCTGTACATACGGGAGAAATGTGGGGCCAGGGGATAAATGTGTTAATGGGGGTGTGTGTCTGGTTGAGAGTTACAACAACAAACTGCCTGTGATCAAAATGAATGAGGAGAAAAAATTCTCGGGGCCCCAGGGCTGGTGCATCTGAGTTCCTGAGGTTCCTTTGTCCTGCCCCTCTCTTCTGCCTGTGATCCCCAGCCCTGCATTGCCAGGACTTAGGGGGCTGAGTCAAGTGTTGCCCCTTCCCTTCCTTCATGGAAAGGCACATCCCAGAGAAAACTCCCACTGGAAAGTGTCCAACCCCGTCACTGGGAGCTGGGAGCAAGAGTGCCTTATGGGAGCTGTAGTTCTGGTGCCTCATGCTCCTGGTCTCCTCTTTGAGCAGGCTCTCTGGCTCTCCCATGATGCATCACTGTCTCCCCTCTTGGTGATGGTTTATTATGAGAATCCCTGGTTGCAGTGCATCATGGGAGATGCAGTCCAGTCAGTCCAGCTTGTAGAGGAGAATATCAGCATGAGGACACTGAACTACCCCTCCCATGCGCTACCTTGGTGGTAACTGAATCAGAATAGTTCTAGTTAGGGCCAAAATATTGCAATTTTGGGGCACTTGTGTTTTGCACAAAACGATGAAATTTTCTGCCGAAAGCCAACTCTGTTTGTGACCAGCCAGCTTGGGCAGAAACCCAGAGAGACAGTTTCCATTGGACATCTTCAATGGCCACCTGCAATCCTCCTGTTCCGGTACCACCTAGTGACCCTGATCAGCATCAGGCCCCATGGTGCTCAGAGTTGCCCAGAGGAGCCCTGGCCTGGCTGGGGGAGGGGCAAGTGCCCTGTGGTTATAATTCATGTTCACTGAGGCACCTTCCCCTAAAGACACTTACAGCCAAGTGAGCATCTGCAACGAACTGTCCTTCTCTCCCCAGACACCTCAAAGAATTGGCCTGGAAAAGTCACGGTGAGTCGCGGTTTTTATTAAGGACAAAGGAGACGAGAGTGGAAAGCGATTGGTTTGCTTGTTTCCACTCGCCAGGAACCTCTGGACTTGGAACGTGGACATCCCATCACGGAGGAAACCCGGCACCACCACCATGGGGCGGCTGGTGTGGAGAGGGGGAAGGGAGAAGGGCTCTTCTGCCCAGCTGGCAGGTGTCACAGGAAAAGGCCAGGCCAAGGCTGGGGAGGGTGGATCTGAGCTGACCACCTCAGAGGGGTTTACCTAGGAAGTGGGGTAACTGGTGTTTTCCAGATGAAATGCCCCCGATGTACGCACAGTGAGACAGTCCGAGGGGAATTTTCTTGCTTCATTTCTTCCACTCTGGGCTGGCTGAGCAGAACAGTAATGTTTCCGTATTTTACCTAAAAGCTTCCGCTCCAGGCAGAAGAGAATCCGACGTATATGAACGTTGCTCTGCAGCGGGGCAGATATAATTAGCGCTCCTCTATGCGCAGCTGCATCACAGAACCCCCCCAAATCAGAGGCAATTGCAGGGGCCGTGCAGCAAGGAGGTGGGGAACTTTGTCTGTGGCCACAACTGGACAATTTGCAGCACTCAATGTGGTTCAGGAAACAATGTTCCTTCTCAATAAAATTTTGTGAAATTCCCAAACTCTGTGTACTACCCTCTGATTCTTTGTACGGGCAGCTCAGCTCCCAAACAATTACATTTAAAGCAAGTTTTCACAGTGTGAGAGTGAGAAGTATCTTAGAACACAGCCACCTAAGTGTTAGTAAGAGTCTTTCTTAATTAACTTCCTGTGGTTTGTGGTGTGAAAAGCACAGTACAGTAATTCCTCGCTTAACATGTGTCCCCTTAACACGCTTTTGCGATAGCACGATTTATTTTTTATGAAACATTTTTCGAACAACACAATCCGTCCCTGCAATAACATGATTTCCCCTATGGGCTGGCAGGTCGCTGGCAGCTGGAGGTTCGCCACTCGCCGCGCCATTCCCTGGTGACCCACTCTGGGATGTTTCACTCCCTCTCCTCCGCCCCCCTTTTACGGCCGGGCCGGCAGCTGCACGACCTTACAAAGTGGCGGAGGTTCGCCACTTACTGCGCTGTTCCCCGGCAACCCCTCCTCACCGGACGCAAGGCATCCGGCCAGAGGAGGTTGCTGGGGAATGGCACGGTGAACAGTGAACCTCTGCCACTTTGCAGGGAGGCAGGGGAAGCCTCGCACAGCTGCCGGCAACCCACCAGCTGGGGAAACCCAGTCGCTGGCTGTAAAGGGGGAGCGGAGGAGAAGGAGCGAAGCATCCCCAGAAGGGGGTGCCAGGGAATGGCGCAGTGAGCGGTGAACCTCTGAAGGCAGGGGGAAGCCCCGCGCAGCTGTCGGTGACCGGCCAGCTGGGGAAACCCAGCCGTGGTTGCAAGCAGGGGGCAGAGGAAAAGGAGGGAAGCATCCCCAGAGGGGGTCGCCAGAGTACGGCGCAGTGAGCGGCGAACTTCTGCCAATTTGCAAGGAGGAAGGGGAAGTCCTGCGCAGCTGCTGACGACTGGCCAGCTGGGGAAACCCAGCCGCCGGCTGAAAGCCCCTCCCCCATCCTTCTCTTTCCTTCTCCAGAGCCAAACACCTCCCCTCCCTGCTATAACCCAGTCCCCTTTCGCCCCCAACCGTATGTCCCAGTCCCAGCTACAAACAAGTGCAGGCTGGAGCTGCGAGCACACATGTGCTTAAAACACAACCCCCATCTTTTCCATTATTTTCATTGGGAAAATTGACCCCGCATCACATGTTTTCACTTAGCACGATCATTTTCTGAAACGTATCTATCGTGTTAAAGGAGGAATTACTGTACAAATATTTTCTTCACTTGCTTTTTAAGAGTAATCCATGGGAGCTTTTTCTCCTTTAGTGGACTGCAGAATTACTTCTTTAAGTAATTAGTGATGTATATAAATAATAAATCCTTTTACAAACACATACAAAATCCCAAATCGTGAACTATGGATACCCAGCAGACTGGTTTGGATGAGTCGACTTAAACTGAAGAAACTTTCAGGCCTACAATTATAAGTATACTTGACAGTAAATTAAGGAAGTGTGGATTGGATAAATGGACTGTAAGGTGGATAGAAAGTTGGCTAGATTGTGAAGCTCAACCGGCTTGATGTCAGGATGGTGGTCAGTTTCTAGCGGAGTACCCCAAGGATCAGTTCTACGACTGGTTTTGTTCAACATCTTTATTCATAACCTGGATGAAGGGATGGATTGAACCCTCAGCGAGTTTGCAGATGACACTAAGCTAGGGGGAGAGGAAGATATGCTGGCGGGCAGGGATAGGGTCCAGAGTGATCTAGACAAATTGGAGGATTGGGCCACAAGAAATCTGATGAGGTTCATCAAGGATACGTGCAGAGTCCTGCACTTGGGATGGAGGAATCCCTAGCATTGTTACAGGCTAAGGACCAAATGGCTAAGTAGCAGTTCTGTAGAAAAGGACCTGGGGGTTACAGTGGATAAGAAGCTGGATAGGAGTAAACAGTGGGCCCTTGTAGCCAAGAAGGATAACGGCATATTAGATTGCATTGGGAGGAGCATTGCCAGCAGATCCAAAGAAGTGATTATTCCATTTTATTTGGCACTGATAAGGCCGCATCTGGAGATTTGTGTCCAGTTCTGGGCCCCCCACTATAGAAAGGATGTGGACACATTGGACAGGGTCCAGCGGAGGGCAACGAAAATGACTAGGGGACTTGAGCACATGACCTACGAGGAGCATCTGAGGAATTTAGGTTTATTTAGTTTGCAGAAGTGATAGAATGTCCCATCCAGATTTTTTCCTTTCCAGAAGTTGAAAATACTGGACAGTAGGTAACCCTATGAGACACTCAGCATCTGGAACCAGGCCTGGGCCCGCACCCACCGTTGCATAGTTGCATACTGCCTGGATGGGAGACACACTGAAGCAGCATGGGTGTGTTAACCAGCCAGGCAGTTCACAACTGTGTACTGATACTCCTAAAAATAAAACTTACTTAATTAGGAAATACCAGATATTTTATATGTCCGGTATTTTCTCAATTTGTTTCCTGGACAGAAGCCTCAACTAGCGGACTGCCTGGTTCAAAACCGCACAGCTGGCTACCATAATGGTCCGCAGCAGGGTTCCCTGTAATCTGGGCGCTTAGATGGCCCCTCAGGAGAGATTCAAATGCCGCCCAGCTGATCAGCCCAGTGCCCACAGTCAGCAGCATGCGTTGCTACTGGTGGCACACATCCACACATGCCTTGGTACACAAAACGAAAGGTATCGTGTCATGGAAGAAAAACTTACAGGGAACATTGCTCCAGGTTATGAAAAAAGCCTTGGCTTCTATTGCTGGTTCTGTCCTGCTGGGTGACCTCAAGCCGCTCACGCCTCCACCTTTCTGTGCCTCAGTTTCCCCATCTATTTCTCTCTCGGATAAAAGAAAACAACAACAATAAATGGTCTGGTAGCACTTTATAGACTAACAAAACATGTAGATGGTATCATGAGCTTAGTGCGGTTAATGCTAAACCCTCCAACCAGGCCAGGTCTGCATCTAACAGAGTAGATTTGACGAAGTCCTCTGTTAGCAAATCAGAAGAGAGGTTTTTGTCGATATATTTGATGTGTGTTAGACTCTGGCATCTGGAGATAAACACAGACGCTGTTGGTGGTGGGGTGTATGGGACAGGAAACAGGTAGCAGTCATGATCAGTTATGAGGGTAGCACCGGTCAGAGCAGAAGGGCTGCGGTCTCTCTTCTGCCTCAGCCATAGGCCTTGACAAGGACTCGGAGCAGCGCTTGTGTCTGGGTTCACAGCCCAGCTCTGAGGGTCTGGCAGAGACTCTGCGCAGGGAAAAGGGTCTTTTGGGCTGAGCCCAGAGGAGCAGAGGGGGCAGGTCGGCCCAAACAGCAACTTCAGCTCGTCCCCCCCAGTCCATCAGGAGAAGACGTTGCTGGGCCATTTCCAGCCCTCTCGGTTCCTGCCACAGCCCCGATGCTCCTGCCTCTGGTCCTCTTGCTGCCTGGTGAGTGTCTGGGACCCCGGGGCTAACTCGTGGGGGGCTGGGAGGACACAGAATCGAGAGCAGCCCCTGGCCCAGGGAGTTGGCAAAGAGCAGCAGAGGGGGCTGCGAGGTTGGAGGAGTGGGACTGTCCCAACCCAGCTCAGGGACAGGACTTAGTGCCGGGCTGGGACCAGCAGTCGGGCCAGGCTGGGGTGACAATCCAGCTTCACTGAGTTTCAGGCCAGGAGGGACCATTGGCCCGTCCAGTCTGACCCGACAGCCCAGAGCAGAGACCTTCCCCCAGCTCCCTGCCCCCAGCCCAGTCACTGGTGTGTGACTCAAGCATCCCCAGAAAGGCCCCGGCCGGGCGGTGCTCCCCCACTGCCCCGGGGAGCCGGCGCCGGGTGAATCCCCCGCACGGGGCGAACCTGCTGCCTCCTTCCTCACTGGCCTTGGCCCAGACTCAGCGTCCGGCCCTGGCTCTGGCTCGGCCTGTCCCTGCTGCACTGAAGGGCCCGTCGGCACCTGGGGCCTGCCCCCTCGTTACACAGCCCAGGGGATCAGACCAGTCTGCGCTCAGATGCTCATGAGTTTATCAGGTCCAATCCCAGGGCTCCCTGTTACTGGGAGCTCATGGCCAGTTACTGTCCCCGGGGCCTAAATCCTTCCCCGGGTCCCTGCTTCCCCACCCAGGCCCCAGGCTGCAGGGCAGCGGCGTTCCCTGGGGAGCTGGGACCTGGCACTTGGCTGGATCCCAGCCCTGGGGTGTCCCTGGGCCCAGCTCCCCATGCCAGGCCCTTGGGGTCAGGCCGGGCTGGGCTCAGATGCTCCTGGGGTGTCAGCGCAGCCTGGAGGCAGAGAGCAGGGAGGCCGTTGTCATTGGAGGGTGGGGGGATATCGGGGTCCAGTCCCTGGGCTCCCTGTTACCGATGAGCCAGAGACATTGAGCTGGGCTCCAGGCTGGGCTCTGGTTCTGGATTCCCCCAGATTCAGGGGGTTGGGTCTGGGACCCGGGGTCAGGCTCATGACAGGGCTGGGCCCAAATCACCTCAGTAGTTTTCAGGAGGCGACTCAGGGTTCAGGGCTCTGCACGGTGCCTGGCCCAGCCCCATGGAGCAGGCAGGGTGCCCTGGGGAGTTGGGCAGGGCAGGAATTGGGGCCTGTGTTCATGGAGGGAGCAGAGCCCCCATCAGCTGTTCAGGGCGTCTCACCGCAGGGGAGATTCCAGCCCGGCACTGACCCCACGTCCCCTTTCTGTTCCCAGCGCTGAGCCCCAGCAGCCAGGAGATCTGCTCAGCTCCCGGTGAGTCCAAATGTCTGTCCATCTGTCTGTCTGTCCTCAATGTGCCAGGGCCTTTACCCTTCCCAGTCCTGGGAATCCAGCCTGCCCCCCGCCTCTGCAGCCTCAGTTTGCTCCCTGCTGAGCGCGGTGCCAGCAGTAATGGCACAGGAAGGGGGCAGGGCTGGGTGGGGTCTGAGCTGGGCCTACGGGTCTCTCAAATGACCTCTCCTTGCTCCGCTGCCTTCCAGTTCTTCTGGGACATCCTTGGCCCATCCCTCTCTCGGGCTCTGGCCTTGGGAAACAGGAAATGCCGCAGCTCGTACTCCAAGGGAT